TCTGTTCTGTGGCTCTTTCAAGGGACAGAGAACGGCAGGGGCGTTTGTCCTTCAGACACCCTTCTCACAGCCCCTGCAGGGTGTGTGATTGCACCGGGGAGCTGCGCTTTGGGGGACCAGGCAGACAGGAGCAAGGGATCTGCCAGCGGGTGGGCACCTCTCAAAGCGGGAGTGATGTGAGAAGGGTCGTGCCAGCTGTGCCTTTTGTTAACCTGTACCCTGACCGGATCCTTTTTAAGCCGGGATGAGGAAACTGGTTTATGCCACCTGATGGCTAGGGAGCAGAGAGTAAACAACCGGATGCTTGGAATAATAATGTGTAGTGTATACAACCCTGTTCTCTCAGTTGGCTGGCTTTGCAAAGGACACGCTTCTACATGAAAGCCAGCCAACTGAGAGAGTCATCTTGTTAATGATCTATGTGTCTGTTGCAATATGTACTTCCTGCCCCGAGCCATTTTACGGAAGAGGAAACTGAGGTACAGAGAGGTGATGTGACTTGCCCAGGGTCACTCAGAGGCCATTGGCAGAGGCAGGAATAAGACCCCCACCTCTCCTGTGTCCAGATTGAGAGCTCTATCCACTAGGCTGCATAGCCGGTTCCTACAGGTACTCCCCCACCTTTGAAACTTGGAGTGCTGCCTTTGTTTGACGGGAGCAAACCGGCAGCCAGAGGGGTGAAAGGAGCTCGGGTCTTACAGCCATTGGCACCAGAACCTAGTGGGAGGGATGGAAAATGGTTCCTAGTTTCTAATACATGACGGCTGCATAAAGGATGCTGGGTTTCCAACTCCATCTGGCTGTGAACCTCAGCGTGTGACAGTCATGCTCCTCCCCTGCAGATCCTAGGAGCGATGGCCCAGAGCATTTAAATCCAGATTTCAGAGACGTCCTTCCACCAGCTCATCTTCCTGCAAAAGAGTCTCGGGTTTGGGGACGCCCCATTTTGGGGACAAGTTTTTGCTGGTGGTGGTGAGTGACGGATTAGTCACCGACGTCACTGTGGCAATCTTTCTCAATCGGCGTGTGATGGGGTGCGGAGGCGGGGTCCGTAGGCATGGCTTGTTCACCACTGTTGCATAGATCCAAGGATTGCTGTCTGCAAATTGCTCCCCAAGTGCCGAATGGTCCAAAGGAGTTGGGAAGAGGCAGGGAGTGAGAACACAGAGCATCACAGGCATGGCCTCCCAGCACATGGGGGACACACAGACTAAATAGGCCTGGCAAAGGACATAAAAGGCAATAAAACGAGGTTCTTTAAATTCGCAGGGAGCAAGAGAAGAGGAAGGAAAGTGCAGGTCCTCGACTTAGTGAGGAAGGAGAGTTAATAACGGAGGCCATCAAGAAGGCTGTAACGTTTAATGCCTCTTTGGTTTTAATCTTCACTAAAAAAGGTGCCTCAACTTCACTGTCATTTACACCGGAGCGGAAGGAATACCGTCCCTAGCAGGGAAAGGACAGGTTAATGAATGCTTTGATGTAGCCAAGTTGGCAGGACCTGCTGAAATTCATCCTTAGTTACTTACGGAACGAGGTGACCCACTCTCAGAACCATCAGCAACTATCTTCAGTAACTCAGGGGGGATGGGTAGGTCATAGAGGACGGGAGAAGGGCAAACATAATGCCTGTCCTTAATAAGAGAACCGGGGGGATTAGAGACCAGTCAGAGTACCTGGAAAGCTACTGGAACAATCAATCAATTTACAAGTATCTGGAGGCCAAGGTTATTAGGACTAGCCTGGATTTCCCAAGAAAAAATCAGGTTAAACCAACCTAACTTCCTGTTTGACGAGGTTACTGGCCTAGTGGATGAGGTGAAACATCAGACATGCTCCATCTTCATTTGTTTATTAAGACTTTTGACCCAATCCCACCTGACCTTCTCAGAAGCAAACTAATGAAATTTGGTCTCGATGAAATTGCTATGAAGTGGGTGTATGGCTGGGTAAAAGACCGTACTCAAAGGGTCGTTATCCATGGTTTGCTGTCAAAGTGGGAGGGTGTACGCAGGGCCGGCCCGAGCTCTTTTGGCGCCCTGGGCCCAGGCACGCAGCATCGCCCCCGGGCACACGCATGGGCTGGCCACAGCCACTGGCATGCAGCCCGCTCCCGGGGTGCAAGGTGCATGTGCTGCCCGGCCCGGCTGCTGGCGCGTGCGCCTGGCTGTGCAGGGCCCCACGGCCATGGTGGGAAGGGCGCTGCTGCGCCAGCGCTCAGGGAGCTGGGCGTGCAGCGCCTGATGGCACCTGTAAGAGATGCCGCACGACCCTTACAGCTGCCATCAGGTGCCCCCCATTGGTTGGCGCCCTGGGCAGCTGCCCGGCTTGCCCATGCCTCCGTCCGGCCCTGGGTGTTCGTATTGGGGTCCCACAAGGAGGATTATATTTTTATGAAGGATTTGAGTCCTGAAGTGGAGAGTATATTTATCAAATTTGCAGATGACACCAAGCTGGGAGGGGTTGCAAGCACTTTGGAGGCGAGGATTAAAATTCAAAACCACATTCCCAAAATAGAAAAACTTAAACAATGAATGGGCTGTACAAATGACCCGGTACAGACTAACTCCGCTACCCCCTGAAGCTGACAAATTAGAAAATTGGTCTCAATAGATCAAGATGCACTTCAATCTAGAGATGTGAAGGACTGGTCGACTATCCGATCAAAGCAAATGCTTATCTGATAATTGACAGGCTAGTCGACTAGTTGCTTCCTCTCCCCCACCCCCCATCCCTCCTCTGCCTCTATCAGATAGAGGCGAGAAAGGAGAGGGGGGGACTTCAAAGCAGCAGCACAGCATGGCGCCCCAGGGTGAGCAGGCTCCTTGCAGCATTTCAAAGCGGCAGCACCGCACGGCGCATGGAGCTGACCCTTGGCTTCGGCGCTTTCGCCTTTGAAGTGTAGCAAAAGCCGTAGAGCTGTTGCTACTCTTCAAAGATGGAGGCGCCCTATCGACTAATCGAATAGTCAATGCAAAAAATGCATCGACTATTCAATTAGTCAATTACCCAATACTTAACATCCTTACCTCAATCAAGACACACACAAAGTACTGAACGTAGTAGGCAGGGTGGCAGTGCTCCTGGAAAGGAGCTGTGGATTATAGTGGCTCACAAATTAAGTCTGCGTCACCAACGAGATGCAGCTGCAAAACTGGCGCATTGAAGTCCGGGGTGTATTAGCAGGCGTGCCATGTATCCGGCACAGGGGCTCAGCATCTTGCTTGGCCCTGGTGAGAGTTCCACTAGAATACCGTGTCCAGATCTTGGTGTTGCACATCAGTGAAATTGTGGAGAAATTGGAAAGAGGCCGGAGGAAAGTGACACAAACGAGAACGGGGTTAGAAAACCTGGTCTGTGGTTTAATGGGGATGGAACAAGTCTTCAAACATGTTAATGGTTCTTATAAAGTGGCTCCTTGTCCACTGGAGGTAGGACAGTAAGGGTACGTCTAAACTACATGGCTCCGTCGACGGAGCCATGTAGATTTGTTGTTTTGGCAAAGGTAAATGAAGCCACGATTTAAATGATCGCGGCTTCATTTAAATTTACATGGCTGCCGCGCTGAGCCGACAAACAGCTGATCAGCTGTTTGTCAGCTCAGCGCGGCAGCCATGTAAATTTAAATGAAGCCGCGATCATTTAAATCGTGGCTTCATTTACCTTTGCCAAAACAACAAATCTACATGGCTCCGTCGACGGAGCCATGTAGATTTGTTGTTTTGGCAAAGGTAAATGAAGCCACGATTTAAATGAAGCCGCGATCATTTAAATCGTGGCTTCATTTACCTTTGCCAAAACAACAAATCTACATGGCTCCGTCGACGGAGCCATGTAGATTTGTTGTTTTGGCAAAGGTAAATGAAGCCACGATTTAAATGAAGCCGCGATCATTTAAATCACGGCTTCATTTGCCTTTGCCTATGTGTCTAATCTATATGCCTCTGACGACAGAGGCATGTAGTCTAGACACAGCCTAAGGGGTTTACCCTGCAGCAGGAGAGTTTTAGGGTAGATAGTAGGAAAGCTTTCGAAGTCTAAGGGTAATTAAGCACTGGCATAGGTTTTCAAGGCAAGCTGTGGAATCCCCAGCATTGGAGGTGGGTAGGAACCGGTTGGCTAGCCCCTGTTAAGGATGGTTGTTTTACTTGGCCCTGCCTCTGCGAAGGGGCTGGACTTGATGACTTTTGGGGGTCCCTTCCAGCCCTGTGTTGCTTTGATTCTGTGCTCCAGGAAGCCAACACCTGAGCTTCCGTACCTGCAGGTCTGCTCAGGTCAGTGCCAGTCAGGCATGTTGTGGCCCCTGCTAGCTAGTAGCCGTGCCAGGCCAGGTTGTCAACGAAACAGTCGCAAATCCAGGGCGCGTTCGGGTTTGGCCAGTAAAACAGCAGCCGGCCAACCTCTCAGGAGCTGGTAACGAACGAGTGAATGCTTTGGGTTCATCCCTCACGCCTGTGTTGTGCTACTCAACCAACAAGGGCTGGGCCCGTCCTGTCAGGACCTGAAGGCGAGCGTCTGGTGAGCCTGAGGCTTCCCCACCCCCGTCATGGTGCCAAATCAGGCAGTCCAAGATGTGTGGCACAGAGGCCTGGTTAATATTCTACAAGCTGAAAGCGAAAGCTTCCCTCAGCTGCCACTTCCTCCTTCCCTTGGGGATTTGTTTGCATACCGGTGTGACTGTCCCACGCTCAGGACCCGGCCTACACGCACCCAACAGGCTTTGCACGAGTGGAGGGGGAAACTGGCCCCTCGGAGTCCACGGCAAACCTCCCACAAGGCCAGCGTTTCAGCCTTGCCTCTCGCAGGACGCTGCTTTGTCTCGGGCGCTTGGCAGGGTTTGTCGTCGGGGCCCATGGATGGTTTTTTTAAGACATTGGAGGATGCCCGCTCCTCAGGTCGGCTTTGCCAGTCACACAGTTTCTGCCCTGAGCTGGCACGTGCCCAGGCGTGGCAAGGGCAGTGAAGGGCTCCCGGTCAGAAAGCGGAATCCCCCCTGCGTGAGGGGCAGAGGATAGTCTGGACTCTACCGCCGGAGACCTGTGGAAGTGAAATTGTTCAAAGCTTCCTGCCGCGTCTCTCCCTGGAGCGTCCCAGAACAGCCTAGAGCGACGCGGCAGGAAGGATGTCAAAATGTTTTCAGGCTGCCGGGGGCGGGCGCTGGTCAGCCCCAGTTCCTTGTTCTATTTCGGAGGACTGCTCTTTGCCGTTCCCTTCCTCTGCGCGTCGCCCCAGGGCCCATCCGGAGCCTTTGCACTCAGGCGGCACGGGGTGCGCCGTGACTCACCGGGCTCACAGCCTCATGGGGTCAGTGGGAACACATGCCCTGGTGCCTGTGACTCACACCCCCGCCAGATCCCGGCAGCGTGACCCCGGAGCTTCTCCTGTGGCTCTTCGTGCTGCCGGGAGCGCTGACGTGATGGCTTGATTGTACGGTCGGCCACTGGTCCAGCCAAGAGCTCCCGTCCTACCCTCCAGCCCTGAGCAGGAGCTGAGGCTGCAGAGACACATTAAGTCCTTCCACCCATGGAAGCCTGACGAGGTCTGTGACCTTGCTCAGGAAATGAAAGCTCTTTTGTTAGCAGAGTTACAAGCTGGCGTGGAGCCGTTGGGTGCTTTTTGTTGGCTCCTGGAAGCAGGTGGCACTAGCAGGATAGGACAGTCGGGTGGGGCAGAGGCTGCAGCGACAGGGAAGGGTCCTAAGAAAGAAACATCAGGAACAGCCGGGTTTCGACCATCAAGCCTGGGAAGCAACTGGGCACTTGCTCACCCCTGGGTCTGGGGAGACAATATCCAGAGCTGGGGGAGTTTGGGAGGCTCACGTGTTGCCCTGGATTCCAGCTTCCCTCTTGCAGTGCAGTGGCTCTGTGGTATGATGGGGCATTCCATTGCTGGATCCACTGGAACGGTACAGTCCTGTGTCGACCCCTATTCTGCTAGCGGCTAGTGAGTCTTCTAAGGTGCAGGGGCTTACCATGGGAGGACCGGAGAGCTGTCCCTAGTGTCACCGGGGAGGGGCTGGGTATATAGCATGGCAGCAAGCCATCGCAGTAAGTGCCTGTGGCTTTCCTGCAGGGCTACCCGCCCGGCTGAATTATTAGAACCACCACAAATCTTTGTGTCACATGCAAAGGCAGTAGTAGGGCACTGCACCACTGAGTAGAATCATAGAAGAGAATCCTAGAACACTGCAACGGGAAGGGACCTCGAGCGGTCATCAAGTCCAGTCCCCCGTCCTCACGGCAGGGCCAAGCACCGTCTAGATCAGGGTCACTCAGCTTTGGAAGCTGTGGGGGCCACATGCCGAGGGCCGCGACGTAAGTGCGTTTGCATGTACATGCAAAGATATATGCAAATAGCTTCTTTCACACTGACGGGCTTGAATACAACATTAAGGCTACACAACACAGAGGGCCCATTTGAGTCAGCTGTGCTGATATTAATAAAATGAAATATTTACCCGATCTCCACCCCTTTGACAGCACTTTTAATGAGCAATGACAGTCCAGGAATGGAACGACTAAAACGCATCTCAACGGAAAACCATTGTATTGACTCACCGTTGTGGAGCGTGTTCCCAGCGGAGGCCGTGTTCAAAGGATCCCACCCACGGGCCACGTGTTGAGACCCGTGTAAACCCAAACCGCACTGCGGGCCGCAAACAAATGGGCCACAGGCCGTGTATTGAGTAGCCCTGGGCTAGAACATCCCTGACAGATGCCTGTCTAACCTGCTCTTAAATATCTCCAGTGATGGAGATTCCACAACCTCCCCAGGCAATCGACTCCAGTGTTTCACCACCCTGACAGTTAGGAAGTTTTTCCTGATGTCCAACCTAAACCTCCCTTGCTGCAGTTTAAGCCCATTGCTTCTTGTCCTAACTTCAAAGGCCAAGGAGAACAATTGTTCTCCCTCCTCTTTGTAACACCCTTTTAGGCACCTGAAAACCGCTCTCATGTCCCCCCTCAATCTTCTCTTTTCCAAACTAAACAAACCCAATTCTTTCAGCCTTCCCTCATTCTCATATTTAATATATTCTAGACCTTTCATCACTTTTGTTACTCCTCTCTGGACCCTCTTGGATTTCTCCCCATTGTTCTTGAAATGTGGTGCCCACAGCTGGACAGTAGCTACAGCACAGTTTCTCAATCACGAGAGCATTGTTTGAAGTTGGCTTGACAATATATATGTATGTATATAATGTGAGTTAAAAACTGAATTGGGAGGGGCACAACGCAGTCACACTTTGCCAGAGGGGCTGGAACAAGGTTTTACAGTGAAGGAGCCGAGAGCCTTTGACCCACACAATAAACTCTCTATATGATGGAAACCACTATAAGCCACAGGGCGTGGCAGTGCCCCCTAGTTGCAGTCAGAGGCACTAGTCAGAAGGGAACCCGGGGAGCCATTGGCCTCGTGTCCCATCCCCCAGCCCCCGTAAGGCAGGTGCAGTCTGGCAAATGTTGCTTGAGTAACTATTCTAGTGGGACAAGCTAGAAAACCCGGGTGTGGCCAATTTCAGCTCTGCTCGCCACATGAGTGACACTCCATCCTGCATCGCAACCCCCTCACGGGTCCTCCTGTTTGCTGTCTTTCAGGCCTGGGAGGAGTCAGCTGGGATCATCTCTTTCCCCAACATCCAGTTTTTAGCAAGTGAAGTGTCCAAACTTCTGACCAAAGAAATCAAGAAGACGCTAAATGCCAAACCTGCAGGTAATAGCCAGAGGGCACGTGGGCTGTGCCATGTTCCGTCTTGGGTGGCTCGTGGTCCTAGTTCAACCATCAGCTGTACCACATTGTGCTATGCAGTTATGGGAGGGTGAGGAAAAAAGGACAGAAAATTCCAAACTGGATCTTCCAAACTGGTGTCGACTGCCGTAGCGCGTCGCTGATTTGCACCAGCTGTCTCTGGCCCCCCTCTGGGCCGAGTTAACGGGCTTTGGACCATTTGCAGTCCGTGTGTTCCGATCTACCTGCGGAAGATTGGAACAATGTTCCAATGTTTCTTTCTTAAATGGTTTTATTCTTTCTTGACAATGAAAACAAAAGGCCGTGAGCCTGGCATAGCTTTCCCAGATTTAGAAAGCCCTGGAACCCTTTGACTGGTGTTGTAAACACCAAGAACCAACTAATTTGCAGTCCCTTGTTGCTCTGTGGGTGCCCCCTCCAAAGCCTCTTAAAGTCCTTCCGTTGGGCTTTGGGTCATATAGCCGTGCCAGTTTCACCCAGGGCACTAGGAGCTGCTCCGTTCCGTGTTGTCTGCATCCTTGATTGAACTGACGTCTCCTGTTGTGATGACAGAGGATGCGCGGCTGGCCGTGAGGCAGTTGCTGTGGCCGAAAGGGGAAGAGGAAGATGGCTGCCTGCTCCTGAGATCCGTGTACCTACTCTCACAGGCTGACTCGGTAAGGCTAAGCAAAAGTGCACTTTCTCCCCTTTAAAGGCCCAGGAACTAGAGCAACGGGGCAGCCGTTCTAGCAGAACCTCGTGTTTCCAGCGAGTGAGTATTATCCCCAAGGCTTTCTCCTTGAACAGGAAAGCGCCGAGGTTGTACCCAGAGGTTATTCCCCAAACATGAAATCAAAGAGAAGATGCCCAGTGTGGGTTAAAACCTGGCCATCCGCAAAAGGCTAGGGGAGTTTTGCCCCATTCTGCCTGCCCGGCAGCTGTTTTCTGCTCAGTGCCCCTGAACGGCCTTCATTGTTCATGTGGTCTTCATTGAGTTTCTCTTTCTGCTTCATCCACTACGCACGCCTTCCCCTGTTCGGCTTGTTTCTGATCACTTCCCTGTAAGCCCCAAGCAGCCTCTGCTACTTCTTCATTCCTGCGGTGGATGAGTTAGTAGGAGGCCTAGCTGGAAGAGGGAGGAGATGCATTCACCTTTGCCACAAACGCCTAGTCTCTTGGAAAGGCCACCACGTAC